GCCGCTCCCGCGGCCCGGCCGGGAGCTCGGCAAGCGCGGCGGCCTCGGAGCCCGCCGGGACGCTGCGGGTGCTTTGGCGCATTCGTGGACGGCGCGGCTCGCTTGGGTCGGCTGAAAGGGCGTCGCGGCGGCCTTTGTACGTTCCTGCCCTCGAGTATAAAGAACTGGAGAAGTGGGGTGGGGAGGGCGCCGCGCCGCGCGCGGTCCTGCTGAGTCGGGGCGCGGTCGTCGGGGCATGTGCGGGAACGGTGCTCGTGCGTCCCACCCAGCCCTTTGCTAAGTCCCCGAACGTCGTCCTTCAAGGAGGCGTGCGGGAAGCGCGCCTTTACTTTGGCGATCAGGCGGCTGAGGAGGAAGTGAGCGTGTAGAGACTGTGTGTTCAGCGGGGCGTGCCAGGTGTGTCTCAGCACGACCGCTTTGGGGCCTAGTTTAACAAAAACGGAGAGAATCGGAGGATGTTTGATTTCGTTTCTTGCTTTTCAGATGATTATGACATGGGTGGAAGGATAAAGAAAGATGTTGCCGGACGTGGTGGCGCACACCTGTAATCCCAGCACTCGGAAGGCTGAGGCAGGAGGATCGTGTTACTTGTTTGAGACCAGCCTGGGGGGTTGGGGGGGCGGGGATATAGCTCAGTGGCGCAAGCGCCTGCCTGGCAAGTGAGAGGTCATGAGTTCGATTCCCGGCACCAAGGGGAAAAAAAAAAAAAAAAAAAGAGAGAGACCAGCCTGGCTACAACGTGAGCTCAAGGCCAGCCTGAACTGCATAGCAAGACTCTGTTTCCAAAAGACAGAAAAAAAGAGGGGCAGGGGATTTAGCTCAGCGGCACAGCGCCTACCTGGCAAGATCGAGGTTGTGAGCTAGATTCTCAGTACTGGGGGGAAAAAAAAACGGTAAAGATAGACCTTAAGTGGGCATCCTGCATGCTTGTAATCTCAACAATATAGGGTACTCAGGCAGGACGATCGTGAGTTAGAGGCCAGTCTGGGCAGTTCGGCAACTTAGCCAATGTCTCATAAAAAACCAGAAACTTAAAAAAAAAGGTGAGCCGGGCGTGGTGGCACACATCTGTAATCCCAGCACTTAGGAGGCTGAGGCAGGAGGATCGTTGCGAGTTCGAGACCAGCCTGGGTTACAAAGTGAGCTTAAGGCCAGCCTGAATTGCATAGGGAGACCCTGTCTCCAAAAGTCCGAAAGACAAAAAAAAAAGTGAGTTTCACAGGACACATGAACCCAGAGTCAAACTCACTTTGTCAGCCACTTGGCATAGCTTCCACCTGGAAAGTGAGACACTGAATGTTCCAGTTTTTAAGGTTTAATTAGAAAATACTGTTTTAAAATTACTGTTGGGGGTTGAACCCAGGGATTTGCACTGAGCTAGATTCCCCGGCCCTTGTTTTGTTTTTTGTTTCTAGATAGGGTGTCACTATGTAGCCTGGGCTGGGTTGGAATTGGGTATTTCTGCCTCAGCCTCCCAGAGTACTTGGTTTACATGTCTTAGAAGTACATACTTCTAGGGCGGGGGATATAGCTCAGCGGCACAAGTGCCTGCCTGGCAAGTGCAATGTCCTGAGGTCTATTCCCAGTACCAAATACCAAAATAAAACCAAGTAAGTACATACTTTTTAGAAGAGTTCTAGGATTAGGTTACTTTAAATGTTTTCAAATCTTAAACCCAGACTGCTCAGTTATGTGTTAACAGAACTTAGGCATAATTCTTTACCTAGTGTTTAGTGGCCAGTTGCATTATTTCCTTTATTTTAGGCTGATTTATAGTATATCCAGTATGAATGTAATTTTTCGTTCTTCTAGCTCCACCTTGGATCACATTAACCTCATGTGTTTCCTCTTTGAAAGTACTGTCCAACTTGTGTCAAAGAATGAATTCCCAGGTTTACTGGGGAGTTGTGGTTAATGTGTGTCAGGCTTAGTGGCACACTGTGAGGAAAATAGACGTTAATTTATAAATCATAAAGATCTAAAGCCTCTAAAGATCCCATGTGTCTCTTCATCTTCAATACTGGGCAAGAGAGCCAGGACCTGGCATGTTCTAGGCAAGTACTCTACCACCTAGCTACACCCTACCCACCCCCAGATGTCTCTGAATCTAGCTACCTCCACAAGAGTCTGTCATTTTTGGCTTCTGGTTACATTTCCTTAAATTCAAAGTAGAGCATTCCAGACAAAAGGACAGCCAGTATTTTTTTAGTATATACACTTGCATGGTGCACAGGCCAGGAATGAAATCACTATTCTTGAGGTGGTTTTTTGTGGAGAAAAATTTTTTTTCTTCCCCCTATGCTTTTGAGGCTGTCCTTAAACCCACAGTTGGGATTACAGATGGATACCGCCACACCCAGTGGAAACATCTTGAGACAATGAGAATGCAGATAGTGGGTTGTGGTTTTTTGGGGGTCCCAGGAGTAGAACTTAGGACCTTGCACTTGCCAGGCAGGTGCTGTACTGTTGAACTATATCCCCAGCACCCCCTTTTGGTACCAGGAATCGAAATCAGGACCTTGTTTTCACCAGGCAGATGCTGTGCCACTGAGCTATATCCCTGTTCTCCCCTTTTCTTTAAAGAAATTAAGCTCATGTCCCCCAGTAGGGAGCATGAGTGATACTTAATTCAAAAAGATGTAAAGCCAGGTGGTTGTGGTATCTGAGGCTGAAGGAGGATGGCAAATTCAAGCCCGGCCTGAGTAGTTTATCAATTTAGTGGTTCCCTGTCTTTAAAAAAAAAAAAGGCTAGGGCTAGGGATAGGGATATAGCTCTGTGTGAAGGCCCTGGGCTCAATTTCTGATACCACAAAAGATTTATGTTGGGCATGGTGGTGCGTTCCTATAAATTGCAGCTACTGTGAAGGCTGAGGCAGGAAGATCACAAAGGTGGAGGCCACCCTGGGCAACTTAGAAAAAGTAAAGTTTGTAATACAGCCCATGGTAGAGTTCCTTTGGTTTTAATCCCTAGTATGGTCAAAGAAAGAAAAGCTAGGTGTGGTGCCATACACTTGTTATTCCAGCACCTGAGAGGCTGAGGCAGGTGAATCTTCACAAGTTGGAGGCCAGCCTGAACTACATAGTGAGACCTGTCTCAAAAAAAATAAAATAAAAAGAAAAGAGCCTTTCTGGGTAACGACCTCCCCATGAGAACATGCCTCTCACAAAAGGTCTCCGGCCCTCTCTGGAAAAGGAGAATAGGAAACGTGTGTGGTGTAGAGCCCCAGTTCCTACTTCGTGGATGTGAAGTGCTCAGGATGTTAAAATCACCATGGTCTTTAGCCCCTTTAGTACTACGCACATAGTACTTCGGTGTGTTGGCTGCTCCCCTGTGCTCTGCCAACTTAGAGGAGGAAAACCAGGCTTAGCAGTGGGTGTTTCTTCAGAAGGAAGCAGCACTAACGGTAACCTGAATCAAGAGGAGTGAGGACTCATCCTAATAAACATTTTAGATTTTTAAAAAAACCTTAAATGCTATAATATTTTGGGAAAAAGTGCTTGACTGGGTCTTAATATGCATTACATTTCAATGATACAGAGTTGAAATGTTTACAGAAAAAGCATTTTAAGGTTTTTGCCCTTTTGCAACTGGTAGATGTTGTCTGATAGGTAATGATATTTGGAAAGTAAATGGTAAAACAAAATACAATATTGAGAGAATACAAGCTCTGGAGTCCTCTTACTAAGGTGGAAACAACTGTTTATGACTAAAATGTTTCTTAGTTTGTATTAAATGCATATAACAAACATTTCTTGTGACCCAAACAATTTGAAACCTTTAAGTAAACTTTGGAGAGAGGATCTCACATAGTCCAGCCTGACCTTGAACTCACTGGCTTTGAACCTGCAGTAATCCTCCTGCCTCAGCCTTCCAAATGCTCGGATTACAAGTGTGTACACTAACCTGGCAGAAAGCAATTTAAAATATATATATAATTCATGTATCATAAAATTCACCTTTTACAAGTGTGTGCCAGCCTGGTGTGCTGGTGCATGCTTGTAATTCCAGCACTTGGGAGGGGCTGAGGCAGGCAATCCCTATGAGTTCAAGTGAGTCTCTATCTCAAAGTGATAAGTGGTCTTTCACATACAAGTACAGTCATCACCACTATCTTTTTTTTTTCTTTTTGAGACAAGGTCTAGCTATGTAGTTCAGGCTGGCCTTGAGCTCACTTTGTAGCCCAGGCTGGTTTCGAACTTGCAACGATCCTCCTGCCTCGGCCTCCTGAGTGCTGAGATTACAGGTATGCGCCACCACGCCCAGCTATCATCACCACTGTCTTTAAGACATTTTTATCTCCAAATGAAATTCCATGCCCATTAGTAGTCACTCATTTCCTTTCCTACCCTGGCAGCCACAGGTCTACTTTCTGTCTCTGCATTTGTCTGTTTGGCTTCTCTGAGCATAATTTTTCAAGGCTCATTCATGTAGGCTATTAACAAATACTTCTTGGGCTGGGGATTTAGCTCAGCGGCACAGCGCCTGCCTGGCAAGTACAAGGTTGTGAGTTCAGTTCCCGGTACGGGGAAAAAAACCCGAGAAAAAACAAAAAACAAATTTTTTTTTTTTCCCCCCCAGTATTAGGGGTTGAATGCAGGAGTGCTCTACTACTAAGCTTCATCACTAGCCCTTAAAATAATTTTGAGCTGGGCATGGTGGCACAGGCCTGTAATCCCAGTACTCAGGAGGCTGAGGCAAGAGGATCGCCGTGAGTTCGAGGCCAGCCAGGGCTACAAAGTTGACCTTAAGGCCAGCCTGAACTGCATATTGAAACCCTGTCTCAGACAAAGAAAAGCTGGGCATGGTGATGCACACCTGTAATCCCAGCACTCAGGAGGCTGAGGCAGAAAGATTGTTGGGAGTTCGAGACCATCCTGGGCTACAAAGTGAGCTCAAGGCCAGCCTCAACTGCATAGTGAAAGACAAAAAAATATATATATTTTTGTTGAGACAGGGTCTTGCTAAATTTCCCAGGCTGGCCTTGAACTTTGATCCTCCTACGTCAGCCTACCAAATAGTTGGATTATAGGTGGCACCCCTCTGCTTGGCAAATTCCTTAGCTATAAGCTAAAAATTTGTATGGATAGAGCACACTTGTTGAACTTACTTATCAATTTGAGACCAGGAGGGGCTGGGGATATAGCTCAGTGGCATAAGCGCCTGCTCGGCAAGCGCAAGGTCATGAGTTCAATCCCCAGTTCCACCAAAAAAAAATTTTTTTTGAGGCCAGGAGATAGAAAAACAATAGGCAGCGTCTTAGTTACTTCTCTCATTGCTGAAACAAAATACTTGACACCCAAAGTTAAGGGAGAAAAGGCTGACTTAGCTCACAGAATTAGAGGTTTCAGTTCACAGTTGGCTAGCTCCAGGGCAGGTGGCAAGGCAGAGGGGATTGCATAGGAGAAACAGTTCATAGCAGGCAGAAGACAGCAAAAGCAACAAGCAAGGGGAA